AAATGAGCATTGATACAGAAACGAGTATCGTAATACATAATAAACTATTCCTAACAGTAGAGTCACATTTTACAAGAAAATGATCTAGTAGTCAGTACCTTTCAGAAAATATTAATATATCAAAATTATACCGTTTGTACACCGACTGGTATGTACAACAAAACTACAGGAATGTCACCGTGGCAACTAAACCGCAGTAAAAAAATATTTTTAATATTCAAATTTAACTACTCCTTTTTTAAACCCAAAAAAGATTAGTGCGCTACTTGCGTCTTATATGAGCAAGCTACTCCCTCAAAAAAAGAAGAGTTTGAAGAGAAATTCATACGCCACATTCAAATAAAATAAAGGATTAGGCAAATTAAAAACGGGGAAAAGGATATTTTCGACCAAAATAGAGGACAGTAGTGATATTTGACCTACAAAAGGTCTTTAACATTGCACATTGTAATGTAGGGATTTTTGATTACAAACGGAAGTGTCCTGTTTACAATTTTACGGTATTTGACGCTTTACGTAAAAAAAGTTACTGCTATGTGTGGCATTATCGTGTGGCGAAAAGGCTGTACGGAAATTAGTAGTTGTTTGTTAATGTTCTTAAATTCTGAACGTGAAAAGGGAATAAGCACAGTATCATTCTACTCTGATGGGTGCTATGGGCAAAATAAAAATAAATACATTTTTGCCTTATATGTCTTTGCCGCAAAAAACTACAACTGTCCATAACGCAAAGATTTTTTTGAAACAGGGCATAGCCAAAATCAAGGTTATTCAATGCACCCTTGCATCGAACGCAATATAGAAAATAAAGTTATTTATACTCTAGAACAAATGTATAATATTGTATTCAAGAGTTACCGAAAAAAATACACTATCACAGAAATTGACCAATCGGATATTTTAAATATTAAAAAGTTAGTCCTGCACATGGGTGTCGGGATACTATTGAAAATATCATCCGTTGACCTGACGTCATGGATGTTCACGTAACGCCATTACAACCAGGAAAGCTTTTTTCCGATACGATATAGATGTAGGGTATTTGGAGTTAGACACCGTACACTCAACCCAAACTAGACGACGGGGACGAAGATGTAAACCTGGCTCAACGACTGAAAATATAGCTCTAGTATCAGCAATCTATTCCAATAAGCAAAGCACTCAACACAGGTTTAGTATATTTATTCAATAGTGGAGCAAATTGCAAAATATTACCATAATTTTTACGTTGACGTATTCTGAGAAGAAAACTAATATAGTTACTGAAGAAACCTCAGATTATGACTGATTACAATTAATTTTTAATGTCACATCATAGTTTCTTTTATTTGATTTTAATTATGCCTAAAGTTCATTCGATGCGTATTTGTTTTCCTTTAATAAATGTCTTATTATTTTATAAATTCTCTATAGTTTTGATTCTTTTATCCACTTGACTAGCTTTTATGATATATCAGTATAGGAAGAATACATTTCAAATTCAAAAAAGTGCTTTCTGGTACTAAGTTCATACTATTTAGAGACGGTTTAGATTGCACGACAATAAGACAGTTATAGAACTTTACATTCACGCTCTTCAATAAAAAACTTGCTTAGATGAGGAAGTAAATGGCTATTATTGTATTATTCTGTTTTAGAATATACCGCAATAATCTCGTAAGTTGATATTACTAATTTCATCTTTATAAATCAGTAAGGTAAGATAAAATTACATTTAAAATATAACAAAATAATTTTACGTAATATATACTTTTATGTAATACATAAATGTTTATATATATAATGAAATCTTTACGATATGTGGCTATTCTATAAAAAAATACCTTTCATTTGGTATATTTAACATGAAACAATAATGATTCATTGAAAAGATATAGCTAAAAAACACTAAATTGGTTCTCCTGAAAAATTTGACTTTTGCAATTACTGGGTTATTGCTCGGGGGCGTCGATATTAATTATTATATGATCAAACTAAATGTATTTTATTGCTTTATCATATTATTCTAGTAAAACAAAAAAAATATGCAATTGTATGATATATGGAAAATAAAAGCATAATGCATGTTGCCGTACATGCAATGTATAATGCATTTAATATGTAATACATAATATTATGTAGTACTAAATATCATATGAGTGAATATTAACAGATTTTGAATAATTCGTCATAACTTATAAAAACATCTAATGAACTTAATTTAGTTGGACAAAAAATATGCTGTATTTCTCAGATTTCAAGTTAAACTAATTAATTCCATACAATTATCTACTCCGCCTTCCCACGGTAAGACAGATATTTTTTGATTAAAGATTAAATACACGAGAATTCACAATTTGAACTATTCATTAAACATGAGATCTAAAACAATAAAAGGATGTAATTTTTTTCTGTAATGTTATTTTAGTTGTTCAAAAAACCTTATTTTATGATAGGAAATTTAATTATATCTGTTATTTCCACCAATTATAATTAAAGTACATATACAATTATTTGTCTGTTGAGAAGCATCTTATTATTCGGAATTAGGAGTTAGTACACTTTAAGCATAACATAATATTAATGAGTGCGTTTACAGCAGAGGTCACGGAACAAAAACTAATTTCAACAGTGGTTTCCTTATCAATAAGATTATGTACTTTAGAACTTTAAATGTTATAAAAAATTTTTGGCACACAATTTAATTAACAGTGAAATATCATTGTTTATTAATAATAACTGGGTTTTGTGGGATAGGGAATTAACAATTTACGAGTAATATTATTTTTAGAACTGTTCCAACATATTACTGTCCTACAGCAGAGCAGTCTTATCTCGCAAAGTAGAAGGATTTAGAGCTAAGACAAATCGCAATGATTGAATCATGCGATTTGTCTTAGCTTTCGGATGGCGTTCTTAAACTGAAGGGGCCAGTGATTGATAACCACGACTGAAACGTTTTACCAAGGGATTCGAAACACTTATTAGCACCATATTGATGATTAAAAAATATTTAAAAAAAAAATCTAAGCAAACAAACATTTTTAACAAACTAAAAATTTACCTAAACCACGTTTCGAATGCTCATGATGTGAATTTGAGTGCATTAACCTGAATTTTTTTTGAACTTTGAATTATACTACGCTATAATTTTTCGCATGTTAACATATTTTCATAAATTTTTGATTTATTACTTTTTTGTTATGTTGTCTCCAATATATTTTATTTTTATTTCCTTAGGGTAATTTGTATAACCTTTTCTTATTATAAACCGTCCGACACATTTTTACGATTTATTATTTCCAGTGCTAAACTCATAGATAAAACATACATTGAAAAAAATCTAAATCCTGTCTATAAAGTTCGCCATTGTCCAAGAAAGGCCGAGACTTAACTACATTTTTCTGATTATCGGCGTAATAGTAAGATTTTGATTATCTCTAAAAACTGATAAACGATTTTTGATGAGATTACCAAGTTAAACAAAACAAGTGAGTATTACATATACGTACTATCTAATAACGTGTAAGAAATACATTGTGTACTAAAAGTGATATTATCTGTAAATTTGTACGTGGACACTTATCTCCAAAACTGCACGCATCTTATAGAGGCAGATTAAGCTGCACTACAAAATCACATTGATTTATAGATTTTATACCCGCTGCGAGTGAGAAATAGAAACTTAATTTACTTAGTCTACCTGTTTTCTATAAAAAATGGATTGGTTTAAAATCACTTAGTAATTCGAAATTTAATTCTCTAATCAAATATTTAAAAAAAAGATATTACTTCTGAAAGGTAACTGAACAGCAATAATCGCTTTTCTATGCCACTAATAATTCTTCCAAAACCATTTTGCTCAAACTTTGTGGACTGAAAAGTTGTAAGTTCAGATATAATAAGAATAATTTATTAATAAGAAATCTTAATGAATTGTTTCTGTTATTAAATTTTCTTAGGAAAATTTATAAAATTCCTCGTATAAGTAGTTTCAAGGGCAACAGTTTGTAAGGATTCCGAAATATCCTGTTTGTGATATTTTCCAGCCATTGGACTGATTTCTAAGAATTCATGGTAAATGTTGCTTATTGGTGGTAAATCTTAAGTGACACAGGGAATATTTTTTTTGGGGTTCAAAGCTAAAACCGGGTACGGGGACTTCCCTCCCTGTCCGTCACTCACTCTTTTTTACCGCGATACCAAAAAGAATTAAAATATTCAAAACTTGCATGTTTCTGCTATAAGAACAAAATATTAGGGGTTACACAAAAACGCAATTTTCGCGTGTTTTAAAATATCAGTAAATGGTAGGTAGATATTTAAAGTATCGTTATAATATGAAATATGTGTACGCAGTTAATGGTACCATTCGTAAGCGAAATCGACTCGCACTTGTCAATTGGCGTGTCCCTGGGGGTAGAATAGAAATTCTAATGATAATTTGATTTTCAAGCAGAGAAGTGGCAATCTAGAAAGCTTGAAATACGCAATACATTTAACACTTAAAATTTCATTTTGAGATTAGCAATGTTACGTAATGAGTTAATTAGAAAAAAATATTAATACTATCAGCATCCTATTGCTTCGTGCGGGTAAAAACAATTCCATGTTGCCCTGAGTAGTTATTTATTTCGCCCTTAAAAAACAACAGCTAATTTTATCGTTGATCATTGTTCAAACGTATTTATAGCATATACAAAAATTATAAAGGGATACACAGGCAGACAAAACTTCCATTTGTAAGTTCTATAGCTTCTAGAAACTAATCTTATTCTAATAATAATTTATGCACGGACAATGCTTAGTTTTGATATTTTTATAATATATAGAGTTGCAAGGCCATCAAGTTTAGGTGTCCGAATATTAAACTGGAGGGGGTATGACGTTTGATTATATGTTTTTGATTAATATATTCTTACGTATATCGTAAAGCCTTAGTAAAGTGGAAAGAGGCTGTTCGGTCGACGTTAAAACATTATCGACTCGTGCGTCGAGAAGTGAGCTGCTTTTAACTAAAGGATAGCCGCCGCACTTCGACCGTGAGTGATATTTTTTTATTCCCCATACACCACTTAACTTCACTATTAGGGAATCATTTATTAATAAGAAATATAAATGAATTTTGAAAATCCTTGTCTCGATTTTATAACGACAACTTTATATTTTTAGTTGAATTTTAAAATTCGAATTATTTACAACGCTCTCGAGAATTACAATTGACGTCATACATTTACTTTTTTTTATATGAAAATTATTTAAGGCCTTATATTAGAGCAATAATGGCAATAATAAATAGATTATTAGAATAGGAGAAGAATGTTAATTTTAAGGTGTTTTGAACCGTGAAAATGCTTTATTGTAGGGATTTGATATTTTGTTATAAATATCTACAATTATATGTAGTATTCTACTAATATATATACATATTAGTAGTATTTTAATAATGCAAGTTCTTTAATCTTGACAACTTATTCTACTTATCGATCATATTTTATACCCCTGTGTCAAATTATTATTCCCTTCATGGCGTGGGGCATGGAGCACACATATTTCTGTCCCTGTTTCACTAATCGGTTTTATACACCTCTGTGCCTTACCCGATTGAAAATATTAATTATGTATACCCAGGATTTAAACTTAGGACCTCTCGTACTTAATGTAATACTAGGCTACGCGTTCAACCACTGAAGTATGAAGGTAGTAAATACATTCGATATGTGCTTATGTAAATTTTAATCACTAACTCAGGCTGGCGATTTCATATTTAAATACATATATATGTACTGAGACTGTAATGAGACGTACTTAATAATTTATATTGGATCGTGAATTTTTTGTTACCTGACTTAAAATTAAGTTTCGTCGAAACGATATATAAAAACGAGTTAAGTTTCGACATTTTATATATTTGTATTTCAAATGTTTAATTTTGATTTTGTACTATAAAAATGTGAAATTAATATTTTTACATGTTATTAATGCAGATTATGGCATTATACATATAAATTATAAATCGATTTTAGATCACGGAACGCATTTAGCGTTTTAAACAGATAAAAGTCTTTTTAATAAGTATATAGTATTATTATTTCTGCCTGTACTACTATTTGTAAATAAATTTTACTAATACAATACGTGTTTTGGGCTGTGAAAAGTGTTTTATTTAAATGTATACTACTCACGATAACGGCTACAGACAGACGATAATACTCTCTATTTATGTTTTAATATTACACCGGGAGACCACCGATGATAAAAACAAACTATATACATCTTAAATATTATAGACGTTGACACATTAGTAAATTTCTCCTAATAAATATACTGAGAATGATATAATTGAAATTTATTAATACTTGAACATGTTTTACACTACTATTTCAATAACAAAGCTCAAAATACAAGTACATAATATCAATAACAATTTTTTCTCCACCTGAGAATTTTTCACTACAACACCGAATTCCCAAGAGGCCAATTATTACCAATGTCAGTATAAAGAACTAGCGAGTTACATAAGTATGTACATAGACTTATCTTGACCTATGAATTTACCTGCGAAATTGTGTTAACGGTTCAACAGTTGTTATCTTTACTTACTTATATGTAGTAAAAAAAAAAAAAAAAAACGTTTTACTTAAATAATATTATGTTTACACATCAGAACATACATCACTTATTGATATATTCTTTTAGATTTTACACTGTCTGTAGTTTACGCGAGTAGTACACATTTAAATAAAATACTATAACGGTTGAAATTGCGATATATTGTAATTAAACTTGTTTGAAAATTATTTTTAACTATGGCCCGACGTTTCGGATGCTTTGCAGCAGCCGCGGTCACGGGTAGAATAAAGATGCAAGGTGTCTCTGACTTCAAAGTAAAAAACTGAAAAAAAAAATTCAAACAAGTTTAACTAAAATATATTGCATTGTAAACCGTTGACGTGTTTTATTTCAATCAATATATTTAATTAAATCTTTTAGAACCAATTACATATTATATATACAAATTCAATTACACAGTATTTATATACATATTGAATAGAAATATTTTTTAAAGAAGTTTTATCAAATGCATACTAAAATTGACTAAAGTATTTTTTATTACTAGTGGAAAAAACAATGACCACTTTTTTATGTAATTTGAACTTAACTTAAACTCAGTGGTTAAAGTCATTTAGGTAAGCGCGAGTGGTGTTTGAATCTCGTAAATAATTAATACATTCGTTCGATCTTATCAACTACTGTCGTAAGTAAAACGGATGGAAAATGTTGTGGCTTTCAGAATATCTGAAGCGACAGCGAGTCTTGTTTATTTGTTATATGGCTAAGGTATTTCTACCACGTATTCCACTTCATTTCATTTAAGGTAATTCATCCATACATAGATCATAAATGTATTTTGAGTTTTTAGTCTTTACGGTACATGAATAACGAGTTGATGACACGTCGAAAGCAGGTTTCACTTGAACTAGTCCACTTCAAATTTGGCAAGAGAATGGGCAATTTTTGTTTATGTAACGAGACAGGGTAATGACTGGAACAATTACTTCTATGTTATTATTATATTATTTTAGTCGCCTATTACATATTGTACGTAATTCGAGATTTCTTAATAATATTATGTTCGTTTTTTATGACCAACACTATATCTCGCCTTCTTGATATTACCTGTTAATTGCTTTAATGGTAATTAGCAGAGCAATAAACAGACGTTAAAACATTCCATGGCGACGTCTTAGTAGTTGTGTCTGGAATTTGTAGGATCTATGAAGAGTTAATTACAAAGCGTAAAACCGCGTTTATATTGGTACTAATGTGTGTAAAACTGTATTAGAATTCGAATTTTATAATAAATAAGCTGTGCCAGCGACTTCGTTCGCGTAGAATAGTTGTTTTTGCAAACATCTTTATAAATTTAAGCTGCCATAGATATCGGTCGCGTCCCGTCGTTCTCGACCTGTCGGTCGGGTCCGTCGTTCTTGCAAGTTAAACAAACAAACAGACTCTTCAGCTTTATATATTAGTATAGATTACTTATGATGTATAACAAACAAATGCAATACGTGTGAGAATTCTATTTTATTAGGTAATTTTTGCCTAACAATGTTCTACGTTAAATGTTATCTCAAAAAACGATTAAAATTGATTGTATCGTCCTGGAAATAAACGTAAGCAATCACACGTATACAAACAAATATTTGTTTGTTTAATCGATAATGTAATTTGAGATCGAACGATGCCATGATTGTTAAACATCAGTCCAGCTGTTTCAAAGGCAAAACAAACAAACAAAGTAACAAATAAATATATAATTTTAAAACACATAAGTGTATGTAAAACACTTGAAACAGACAAAGCAAGTAATGTTAATATGTGAACAGACTGAGGATCATTGTGAGATCATCAATATAATTCATAATATATGAATACTAAAATATAGAATTATAAGCTAAAACATGTTTCTTTCAATTAAAACTCAGTAGTATTGGAAAAACCGGAATCTTATTACCCACTATTCAAAGAACATAACTAGTGCATTATTATATAGTAATTCATCGAATGATCTTTCTCGATTATACGGCGTTTACCTTAATTATTATTGTATGGAAGATTTTTATGCTTATGACGTATTTTAACGATTAGAATTGAGCACGTGTCGTTCGTTCGAACGCAAAGAGTCAATCTCGATCCGTTGAAAATGATCCGGTTCGTTTGATCCGTTCTATAATAATGATAATTTATCGAAAACAAATATAACTCGTTTGCACCCAAAACTGAGTGTAGGTATTCTAAATGTATAGCCAAACTGGCAGTGGAAAATATTGACTGTAATTTACGCGAGTATTAGTACATAAAACACTTTTAAGGGTAACAAAAGCGAAATGTATTAATAATTAAACTAAGTTACAATTTATTTTAACCATAACGTTTCGGTTGCTTTGCAGCAGCCGTGGTCATAGGAGGATCAGGTTTGTTTAACGAAATTTTCGCCTTTCGCAAAAGTGTTTTATTTAAATGTGTAGGTACTACCGCAAACTACAGACAGTACTTCGTTCTATTGAAGATTTCAGAATGTATTTTTTTTATGTTTGCAAACTTTATCACATGTTATTGCACATGGTGACTGTAAATGTATATATATTTCTATCTAATTTAAATTTTAATCTTGAATTATCTCTTGACGGTCTGAGGTTAACTAACGAATATTAAAACAGTCCTTTTAGCCTTTCAACCGTTCTCATTATTTACGTAAACAATGCATCAAGGCCGGTATTCCTCTGTGAAAATATATATATTGTATAATACGAGTATGTGTTGTAAGAACCGTGATATCTCAATCTATCTACTGAATGAACTGTAGAAGAAAGTAGGGCGGCACGAGCTTAACACTTCGCAATTCACTAACAATTGAAGCTAATTTCAAAAACCGACAGGCTAAAACGAGTGAGATGCTCGCGTAAGAATCTAACACAGCACTAAAACATGTAACTTAAAGTATCTAGAATAAGCATAACGTAATTCTTGAAAGGCGACAGAACAATCGTGTTAAATATATTGTACTTTAAGTGCGAGAAGGTACTAGGTACGATTCCCATGGAAACAATAGATTATTGGTACAGGTAAGGCACGTCTGATCAACTATTTGCCTGTAAATAAAAAAAACTGCAGCGTAATTTTATAGCTCGATAAACGGTCTCCAACAAAATATTTTATTTTTAAATTTGAACCAGCAGTTTATTAGCGCACTCAAACAAACAAGCTCATCAGTTTGATATTATTAGTATAAATTATTCGAACCTTTTCTGTTAGCCGTATCAACATGAAATAATAATTTTTGCTAGATATCGAACCTTGAAAAGCGGTTTTCAATCGTTTATTAGAGCGGATAATTCCGTTTTTAGGACAATTACTTAAAGAGCACACTGTGCGCACGCACAGTAAATAATTCATAGTAATTTCTTAATAAACTCGCGTAATGTGCTGTGATCGGAAATACGTCTAGCGTTCGAATATTTTAACAATGATTACTAATTATACCGTTTTAAATTAATGGTTTGCCTCTCCGCACGTAACGGGTTAAGCTTCATCGAACATGGACCAAAATTATGAAAGCGCGTCCGCGGCTTGCAAAACATTCGAGTACCGGGAAATTATTAAAAAATAATTTCGGTTCGACAGGGCGCAGAATTCTTGTATGGACCATTTCACATTTTGATTCCGACCTATACTCTCATGTTAAAAACGTGGCAAATGTATAATTTGGTCAATAAATCCGTTTTAATGCAGTGAGTGTTCCAAGTATTTTTAAAATATATTGAAAATCTTAAAGAAGATACGTGCTGTTTCATATGTACTGACAAAGATTCCGGTAATTCTTGTTAAGGATACTTCTTCTTCTTCTTTTAAATTCATTCTACAAATCTCATGTGTCTATGGGAGTAATGACAAGTAATGACAATAATATAAATTATTATTGTTATTTTTGACCACTGGTATTAAAGATCACGATATGTCAAGGAAACTAATCGCAACTTTGTCGTGATGTCATCGACATGTGTCAAATTCATTACTAACATCATGACAAGTTCACGACCTAAAAACTCTTCAAAAACTTGTATAATGTGATGTCATAAAAAAGGCTACTTGTGATAATGGTGCCTTCAAATAGAACGAATAAAAAGGTGATTATAAAAAAATGTTTATATTTCGAGCAATGACCTTCACTTCAGCTTTTACGTATTCTGTTTTGCATCAAAGCAGACCATATTATATCTTATGACATAACCTGTTGATTGAGTTTTTATGCAAAATTCTAATACAAATAATGAAAATGACTACAATAAAAAAAATATACATTTATTTACCAAAGTGATGTACTCGTAGAATTTCCAGAAGTTTATCTTATCTGTGGCACAAGCAATAACACTTGTAGCACTTGTTGCGTTAAAACTTCTGGGATCGAAATAGAGATAAAAAATGTATGTAAACACGTTTTGTTTGGTGGTTCTTCAATTAATTTTCCATAGCCAAACGATTACAATCATTTTTTAAATAAGTAATAAACAACGACGCCTTAATAAAAAGTATTAAACAAATGTTTTGCAAGAAATATTCTTTGTAATAATTAAGTAATGGACTACGAATGATTGACGTTAGATAATATCAGTTTTAATGATCAAAGTATAATTTGAACGTATTTTGAAAGTGTTTTGCCTTGTTGAATTGCAAAAAAATTAACCTGTATATTAAAATGACCTGTGGTAATTAAGTAGACGAAAAAGTCTATTGGCTTTTGACTATTTGAAATTCGATCAATTTTTTAATGGTGTATTTCTGTCAATAGCGTGACAACTAATCATGATTATCCGGGAATCGAATTTACGACAGAGCGCTATTGTAATTTCAAACCATGACTGTTTAAAATTCCATTTGTTAAGGTCTCGTATACAGTGTATATGTAAACAATATTTATATACGAAACAAATTAATTTACAGCCATGTAATGATGATTTTCCTTATATCAACATTTCTATTCGTAGCATTTGAAGGTCCTATGAATAGTATAATACTTATAGGGCCTAATAGAATCTGCATGAAGCTTCTTACAAGAATCAAGACTAAATGATTTTAACTAATAAGGCCAGGTGGTGCGGAACACCAGAACCTCACCTGAAAAGAGAACGTACAAGGAAAAAAAGATAAAAAAGGTTTTTTTTTTATTATCGGAATCGGATCGTTTTCAGTATGTGCTATCGGCCTATGCGGTTTTTAAGTCTACGTTGAAACCAAATACCATTAAACTTCACGGCTTTTCATCTGCTGACGGTGGTTTGCGACTCTGGCGGAATTTTTAATTTTCGAAAACAACTCAACATGTTTTAGACAAAATATAAAATGTATATGATCATGCGAATGAATAGAATGTTCTAAGCAATTTATAATTTTTCCAAAACATGTTGAACTTCGTCTGGAAGTCCGGGTATTAAATGGGTGATAGGAATATTGAAATTCCCTCCAGATCACGAACCACCGTCCACAGATAGAAAATGCCGTGAAGTTTACTCACGTTTCGGTCTCAGTGTGGATTTCCGAATATCCAAAGTCCAAAGTTTAGATGTTATAGGCTGGAGTATTTTACCTACCATCAATGCAGCACATGCTTGCTTGTCCTCCCCTATTATCAATACTCAAATAAGACGTTCAGTAAAACATACATACTTGTATTGAAGTGTAGGAAATGGAATAAATTTATATCTTTCGCAGAACCAGCATGAGTACGGCAAGCGTGTTGCTCGCTGTGTCCACAGCAGCCCCATGGGGGTCGGAACACTGCGAGAAGGATGTGACGAGAGGAGTGAGGAATACCGCTGCGGTGGCCGCGGGAGAACTTCGCGAGACACCAGCGACTAGGGAACAAGCGCTGCAAATAATGCGGGACTGGATTCAGAAGAACCCAGATATTCGAAACGTTAGGCTTGGTGAGACGATTAAATTATTCGAATACTAGGTCCAGCCAAGGGCTTCGGTCACCAAGTAAACAAGGATATTTTTAAATAAATACTTTAACGGTTGAAAACGCGATATATATTAGCTAAACCTATTTGGAGATTATTTTAACCTCCGCCCGACGTTTCGTGTTTAATGCCGAGTGTTTTATTTAAATGTGTACTACTTGAGTAAACTAAAGACAGTATTTAAACAATGATATTTCTCATAATAATGCAAAAATGTTTATAATAAAACAGTTATAATAAAAACGCGAAATACTACGATCTGATTTATAAATTTAAGTAACTACGACCTCACGTGTTGGACGCTTAAAGTAAATGAACTGTATTTTACGTTTTAATGCGTTAAAAATGTTTTATTCGAATTTGTTTCTGCAGACAATTATAACATAATTTATTCTTATTCTCACGTGGCCCACTAACATCTGACTAAGAATTAAATTACCTAATAGAATGCGGGTTTTGAACCGTTATAAAGTCTATTTATTCAATTGAATGATCCCGTCTTTTTAACTAAAAATCATTTGATTCTTTTGTTTATTGTATGGAACCCGTGAACCGCTTCTCATTACCAGGCTATTAAATATAACAAAAAAAAATGTAAACCGCTCTTGATCCTTTTTATTTTATAATTATAATGACCTTTTTAAAAAATATCGTATCGACATTATTTAAATAGTTATTCGATATTTAACTTCCTGTAAAAAGAAAAAAAACGGATATGCGCAATAACTCTTCGCATTATATCCTTGATTTTTTTGTCGTTCTCAGGTTCAGTAAAAACTGCAATCCATATTTATAGGAATCACATTGTTATTATTGTTATAATTGTGAATAATTAGCATTATTTATCATTAGCCCGCAAAGACATTGACCAATTTAAAACTCAATATGAATTCCGGTCTGTGTGATTTCTTTAAATTACTAAAGACAAGTTTTTATTCTTATAGAATTATTGAATCTGACATAGGAATATAATAATAATATATTAATTATTATCATATGTTATCTGTTGCAGTGTCTATAAAAATATATTAAATGGTTGTGTATTGTCTGTTTTTTACGCAAGTAGTACACATATAAATAAAACACTTTTGTGACACATATTCAATTTTTTCGTGTTTTAAACCGTCTTAAGTGTTTTATTTAAATAGATACTTTTGTTTCGTTTAGATTGTGATTATTTGGGATTGGAATTATTTACGAATGTTAAATATAAATTTCTACATTCGAATGGTGTTATTTATTTTCTGTAATCGTTTTTTAATACTTTGTTATTCTCTTTTTAGACGACACGTTCTTACTGCGGTTCTTAAGGCATAAGAAGTTCAGTGTGCCGATGGCTCAGCAGACACTGCTTAAATATTTGAATCTGCGAAAGTTCTATAAGAATTGTATGACTAACCTGGACTGCGAAGATTCTAATCTAAAAGAGATTTTAAACGACGGGTGAGTCATAGTACTGAGTGTTTCATCGTGTAAAAGACAGATTAAAAACGTTGTCCCACCACGCTGCACCACTGTCGTTTGATGGGCTTTAACGTTAAATTGCAATAGTTACTAACACATTACTTAATAATGTTTCCCACTTATGTCACTGTTGCTTAAAGTATCAAATGGTTGTATGAGCGCTGTCTAACCGACGAGTAGGGTTTTGCTGAAAATCAGTGATTTAGCTGATCTGTTACCAAGTTATGCCGTCGCAAGATAGTTGTAGCATTACTTTTCTTCCAATTAATTTTCTTTTTATTAATTATCTTAAAATAAATAAATGTAATTACAATTAAGAGATTCGAATTCTGCATTAATACGTAATTATTAAACATGGACTAAAAAAAAACAACGAAAAGAAATTAAATGCTTTTTCTTAAATCTTGACGCAAATGCAATTAATAATATAAATAGCTACTAAATTTTTTTTTTACAAAATTTTAAATTTTCGTCTTTATTTAAATCCCTCTTACAAATTATTATCCTTACTTCTTAATCCTACAAAAAACAAGATATAACAATCTATACTTAAGCAATGTAGATTATAGTAGTTTTCGCAATGCTATACAAATTAAACTAATTATTTAAATATAAATATTATTACAATTAACAATTTTAAATGTTTAACCGCGAATACTATTAACTTATTTTAAGGTACAATCCGCCACATTGAGGTTTTACGAACCTACTCACGGTACTACTACCACCGACCAACTAGGTACTATCTATCTCAATGGGACACGTCTCGCGTTTCGAACCGTTAAAAGTATTTCATTTAAATTCATTACGCTATCGATTTCAATCTGCCCTTAAGGTATTGTGATGTTTTATCTAAAATTATTTCTGAATGAAATTTTATTTAATTTATTTGTAAACTTTCGTTTATATGCCTGGCAACGATTATTGGCCGACTTACGATTACTACAACCTCCTCGAAGACAATATTCGACCAGAACCACTAAACGCACGACCGGCCCGTTACAGTTAAAGTCATCGGCCACAAAGATGAAATACGAGTAACGAGTCGATCTCTTTGACGCGCTCGTTGGCCTAATAATAGCAATGTATGGCGACAGATCAATGGTTCGCGAGTTCGATCCCCATTAGGTCCAGCATGTATCTAATTTTTCAATATATAATTTTTCTGAAACCTGGTTATTCAATGTTAGTAGGAATGTAGAAATTCCGTCCGGATCTCGAACCACCGTCCACGGATGAGAAAGGTGTGCGCTTAATCGCTTTTCGGTTCCGGAATTCCGAATATCCAAAGCCAAAATACCACGATAGTGCGTTTTGTTTAGATGCTATAGGCTGGGATATATCAACTACCATCAAGTGAGCGCCGTGCTTGTATTACTTCATCTATTCATCTATTCCATATCTATTCCAACACCTTCAATTCAAGACGTGTTATATTTCGTTCTTGTGGCCGATGCCTTATAAGTTAGCCCTTAGCCTCCAGTTAGTAAGGTCATACTAACTAACGCGTTATTCAGATCGAACTTCCTTCATAATATTCGTTTGGAGGTCGTGGTTTCGATTCTCGTTTAGAGAGCAATCAGATACACGCGATTCTAGGAAATTGAGATGAGATGATTGGCCCATCGTGCTTCGATAAATATAAAGCTGCGCCCGCGACTTTGGCCGTGTAGAATAGTTATTTTGGGCGGAAAAATGTATTTTTTCATTGAAAACTCCTCTTCTTCATTTTTATAAATTTTAGCTGGTAACTATGACGTCGTTCCCCTACCGTCATTTTTGCAAGTTAATCATGGAAAAGTATTCTCGATCTTTTTTTTAAGTCGGTTAAAAAAGCCAACAGTCATTTTTAATTATTAACGTGAACGCCTATAGTATTGGCCTAGATCTTGCGAAAAAATTAATTAAACCCACTAACATGGTTACGAAACGTGACGTCCGCATTATGAAAGTGATTTTGCCCAATCCGTTCGTATCTTCGGCCACATGTTGGACCGGTCATTCGAAAGCTCCTACCTTGACCCCCGCGCGGTTGTTATATAATCTTTTCATAATGCGCGTTACCAAATATATATATATGGATAATATATATATATTTATTGTTACGTACTTACGCACGATACAGTTCGATATTGTCGTGTTTGAACACGTAAAATAAAATTAGAATACCAAAAATGTATCGAATGAATGACCGTTTTTACGGTGTTGATGGTCTAATGGTAGCGATGGCGGGTTCGATTTCCACCAGGTCTACCACCGTTTATGTTTTTCTAAAATATATTGGAATTCGTGTCTGCATGATAAATGGGTGGTAGGAAAATCAAGGTTCCGTGGGCCACGAACTCCTCTCTATACCTCTATGAAAAAACCGTAATTTTTTAATTACGGCTTTGAATTGGAATATCAAAACCAAAAAGGGGTCGGACATCGCATCTTGTTAACTGTTATATTTCACCTTTCTTGTTCTCCAATTAAATTTTTAAAATTCCCCGGTTTTCTTTTTTTTTTTTTGGTTTTTTTTTTTTTTTGGCTTTTTTTTTTTTTTTTTTTTTTTTTTTTTTTTTTTTTTTCATCAAAAGACTTTTCACTATATAACTATTGTATGGATATAATAACGGTTTCAAACTTAGAAGGAGTAGTAAAAAATCTCTTATGTTTCTTAAGATATTACGCGTTTTAAACTTTAAGTTTTTCATTAAATGGGTACTGATATAGATACATTTTAAGAACTTTCTTTAACTATTGTTAGTTAAAAATAAATAAACTTAATTATGATTTTTAGGTACATAGCCGTTTCACCAGTGAGAGACGAAAATGGCCGCCGAGTTATCGTATATAATATGAGTGAGTATTGTTTCATGACAATTTATGTATATGTATTTAAGATTAATTAATGAGACATGGATTTTGGAATATGACTTAGAGGTTCTCTTATTGTTACCGATTGAAAAAATAATCGAAAAAAATACGTACGTCAATTCATTAGCACAAAGGTGTTAAAAATTTAAATTATAAAATTTAAATCGTGAAAGTGTGTTATTTAAATATTATAATTTAATTTTATGTGTTTTTATGAAAAATGTCGACTTTTATTTATACCTTATAACGAATATTCATACATCAAAATCCGTGTCTCTTTGCTTTATGTTTTTTTTTATGTTTGACTTATGACATTGAGCTTTTTTTTTGCTATTTTATATTACGTGTTAATACGAAAATATTGGCTAAGCGCTCTGCGATTGTATTTAGTGATGACTTTGACATTGCGAATTCAATTCAATGACCATTCAAGTGAGGAAATACTTCAACAGCTATTGAGACTTGCGAAGTATAATTCTAATCTTATCTCACCATGTAACACATCGTTGATGATGAACCAAGGTAATACTATAAGTTATAAATGTACATGACGTTATTAGCATGTTACTGCCAACTTATTTAAAAATCGATTTTAGATTGAAAAAATTCACGACACGTGCAGGACATGTTTGATGCTGTTGCTTTAACCGCTACCCAATTGAGCTACCGTGTCCTATATGCCATTGATAGATGCACCTCTCGCGGAAGTGCCATTATGTACATGTGAAAAATATTAAAATGTTCAATTATCTGTGCCCACGGCATCGTCCACGTAGAATAGAGAATAAGTCGAAGAGATTCTAATGGGCAAAATATAATCAATATTTTTGATGTGAAACTGCGACTAGACAATCCTAAAAGCTATGCTTGCGTGTAAAGCTAATATAGTATACCCAAAATAATTTTATTCGATGTTTGCAGGTAAATTCAACGCGAACAAATATTCGTGCTGGGACATGGTCCGAGCGCATGTCATCATTTACGAGACCTTGATGGAAGACCAGGTGGACCAAGTGCATGGGTTCGTGCATGTTGGGGACGGTATGGGGTCCAGTAAAACACACGTCACCGCGTGGAATCCAGTGGACTTCGCAAGGCTTATGAAATGGGGAGAGGTAATGTGTCCTTCTGCCTTTTATATTCTTCAGGCTTTATGTATTTAAATCTATAATAATTAAATTTAAACAGTTTAAAACGCGAAATATATTACTTAAAATTATTTGGAAATATTTTAACTACGGCCCGACCTTTCGGATGCAGTCGTTTCTTTGCAGCAGCCATGGTCACGCGGGGTGACATAGTTAAAATAATTTTTGAAATAAGTTTAACTTATTAATAATTAAACAAATAAGTTTTTAAACAATTTATTTAATAAGTTTTTGTTTTTAACTGATGGCCTAAATGCCTAATGCACGCCCACGTCATGCAATAGTGACATGGGGAGTGTAGTAAATCCTATAACCTCCTCGGAGACAATTACCGACCACACCACCAGTCCACTACGGTGCTTTAAGGGAGCCCTGGGAACAACCACAGTAAGCACTTAGTAAACCAACACTTTTTACTTTCCAGCAATCGTTCCCGATGCGGCACAAAGGTTTGCAGCTGTTCAACGTACCAGCAGCACTCAAGTATATAATTGACTTTGCCGCCAGCAAGACTTCTCCCAAAATCAGCGAAAGATTACGCGTAAGTTTTTTAATCTTTTAGACTTACAACTACAGATTAGGTATCTGTTTGTTTTTTTTTGCAACCTGCAATATTTTTGGCCAGGATGTCAGTGGTCCCAACGCTACCAATATGTAAATGTGTGTAGTTTCTGTCTGAGGTGCATAGAAATAGAGACAATATAGTCTATCATGTCCATAAGTAGTTAATTTATTATTAACGTCTTTCGTGGTAAAACATAATAAATACTTTCGGTATGAAAGAACACAAGATCTGAACACTATATAACTCATACAAGTAGTATAATGATAATATAATCCATTCCCCCACGAAAAGGAAAGGTGATTTCATGCATTTCTAACCAAAAGAAGCATTCTGACAACCGAATAAACGAACACACCTAAAGATACAAATTAAGGATGAATACAATACAAGGAAAATCCTTTTTATTTATGAAAAACCCGTCCACATTACTTTTATTACGGTCCGAATTTTAATATTGTAAATTCTCGTTCGAAATTCAACATTCTTTGTCACTTTTTATTTTTTCCTTATATTTAAGGTTTTAGTATTAGTTTTTTATGATAGAGTAGGACTCGCTAGCGTGGGATTGATTTGTTATAAGGTGAAATACCCCAGCCATTTAACATCTCACAAACATGCGCTGGCGGCCTATTTTTGATTTTGGATATCGAAAATCCACAGACTGAGAGCGATTAAACTTTTTTCACTAGATGGTGGTTCTTTCTTCCTACCGATATTTCGATATTCCTACCACCCATTATTATCCATATTTTCATCACGGTGAGGATAGAACTTACTAATTATTATATACTGTCTATAGTTTACGCGAGTAGTACACATTTAAATAAAACACTTTAACGGTTTAAAACGCGATATATTAGTTAAACTTATTTGATAATTATTGTCAATTGTAAATATTATATTCCAGCTCCATCCGACGAGTAAAACTCTTGGCAGGGAGATTGACTTATCGTGTCTGCCATGTGAGTTCGGTGGTAAGATTCCGCTGAAAGAAATGGTCGAATTCACTCATAAACTTTTGTTGGAGAAGAGACAAGTACTGCTGGATCTAGACGGGATGGAGATCTTGAGCACGAAAGGGATAATATCATCGAGAAATAACTCGAAAGGCACCAACTTTATTGAGGGTAGTTTCAGAAAACTGGAGATAGATTAGCATTCTTAAGATTTAGATATTGACGTACACGTATTACCTCTCGTTATGACAATGAAGATAGTATAGTTATTAAAAGCTAAATGATTTTAAAATGAAACGATTAGACAGGTTTAAACCGTATTTTTTACGTGTCCTGTAGTTGAGTTCGCCTTCAGTTGTTTCATTAAATTATATTTCATAACCACTGGTAAAACAATGAAGCGTAATAAAAAAAAATAATAACATTTCAAATCGGCGAAGTAGTTTTTTTATTACAGATTAAATACAGAGTTCTTAATCCTTTATCGTTTCTTGAAATGGTCGTTCTCCTTGCTATTGTAGTATTCTCTACCGCTTAACTTATATGTCGCGATCGACATGTATATGACGTATAAGGCTGTACAATGTTAATGCAAGCAGCCAAGAACAGCAAGTGTCTAAGCAAATCCTTCGTCCTTTCCTCAATCAATGTTTTAAATGGATGTTGCTTATTTCATGTAGCCTTTGAAGAGACAACAGAACGTCATTGTTGAAAAGCTGGAATGTCTTATTTTTACAGCTGTAACTAGTATTATATAGAGTTTTTAATTATTTAGAAAATGTAACACTTCTCAAATGTAGACATAGAATAAAAATAATAAGTAATTTAGGAAAATGAAAATGTATTAACATTTAATATTAGTAGAATGAGGAATACCTGCTTTATCTGATAGAATTATCAACTTTGTTGTCATCTGTAACCTTGGTGATGTCGTGATGCGTCAAGTGAGTTGTGTTAGAATTATTAAAGTACACGCCTACAGCCGGTTTCTGGTTTAAGGAAATCTACTTGAGAACGTCTTTACAATTGCGTGTAATAAAAAAACAATATACGCAGTTTTTTAAGCTATGAGAATCATTAAATTAAAATTCTACACGGCACGGTAGCTCAGTTGGCGCAACATCACAGAACGCTGTGGGTGCCGGTTCAAGTTCTGCTCGTGTCGTAAATTTTGTTTACTGCCATCATGTGCAATAACATATTTTCAAATAATACTGTCGAGTGATAGGTGATATGAGTTTTTCTTAAATTAGCAACCGGCCGTTAGTGATTATTACATAATAATTAAGATAGCTATGGATTCTTTAGACCATGTAACAGTATTGTGAAAGGATTCTTCGGATTCAGTGATTGAGGTTTTAGGTGGTCGGCGCTGATTTAAATGGGGGGTTCGGGCTGCAAGAGGTACAACGGTGAGCGGTTACTAGCCCCTGGGAGGAATTATTATAAGTGGATGCTGCTGACCAGCTAGTCGTGTTACACGTGTATATTTACAAACTTAAATAAAACACTTAACGGTTTATAACGCGAAATGTATTAAACTTATTTAAAAATTATTTTAAATACAGTCCGACATTTTGGATGCTTTGCAGCAGGCGTGGTCACGGGGTAATAATAGTTTGTAAAAAACTTTCACTTTCGTGTTTTAAGTCATCGAGTGTTTTATTTAAATCATCTACAAACGCTGGTTAAATCTTAAAATAAGTCAACAAATCCACAATTGCTACAACTTTATTAAACCCCTAGTATGAGTGCAATCATTAAGTAAGACATTGATAATCGTATCGGTTGTGTTCAAGATTCCTAATGCCTATGGTGTACTTATATGAAACTTATACTAGGGGTATATTTCGATAGCTTATTAACAAATACAAGTTTGTCATAACTAGTACATATTTAAAATTACAGATGTGGAATCCAAGGAACTTCCACCATTTTATAAAGGCCGGAATTTTGTGTCCGTAGTCCTATTAAAGGTAAAATATGTACGGTAAAAATATTAGTGTAAGAAGTACTTTCGTAATTTCATAATATCTGAAATCAATAAAAAGACTACAGACAGAATACGTCCCAATCTGTTGTTTGGTAAACAGTCTGTGTTTGGCTCCCTAACATTTGTTTCGTATTTTCTATTCTATGATTTCAACTTTGAATTGTGATATAATGTGTACATTTAGATTAATAAAGTGTTTAACTTGTGTAAGGTTATAAGTATAATAGTTTTATTTCTGGTTTGAAACGGACATAGAAATGTGATCGTAACAATCCCTTTAAAGGGGAAACATTTCTCTACTACACAGGCATACTAGAAATACTTTCGAAGCCGAAGAAAGGCGTGCATGAAATCACAGCTTCGTATCATTGGAAGTTATAAAATATTTACTAAGGCAGGACTCGAACCCAATGCTCGGTTCCTAAGCCGCAGATGACGTCATTCAAACTTAATGTTATAAGTTTTATAGTTTTGACTGCGCAATTCTTTCAAAATGTAAAACGCAATTACGTTTTAAAGATATAAATTATATAATGATTTACGCACAGTACAATAATTATATTGATATAATCGTATTAGCTGTGTTAAGCTATAAAAAGTGTCTGAACAAATGTCGTTCTATTTATAATATGTGTATAGTGTATACATAAAGTATAATATATTTAGTAAGGGGGAGTAATCATGCAAATATTAATTTTAGAGAATACAGGTTCGAAATTGTATTTTTCTACTCTACTACAATTCTTTACTAGGAAATCTAGAAATTAATTCTTGACTTCTAGGAATGACATTATATATAATAATATTAAACAAAAAACAGATCGCCTTGTATATATCTTTATTACTATCAAGATAACAATTATTATGAAACCATTGAAAATTCTTATAGTGACCAGTGTCAGGTTATTAAATATATATATATATAAAACTATTATATATATATATATATATAATACCTATAATAACCATCGAGAAATTCTAGAGGAAAATCTAGATTATTGACTCTGGTATAATCCAGCAACAAATGAGACTTAAGACTGAAAAAAAAAAGTGTAATTACTACGGATTTGCAAACGTGTGTAGCAATAACGCATACATTCAAAATTACTACGTTCTTATTAAATTGCTATTTGCAAATGAAAAAGATAACAACGTAACGAAAGCCGGCCCGAGCGTTATTCCCCTTCAAGTTGGAAGTACTGTAGCCGGGCTCAGGTGTACTCAAGCATACGAAGGGGTGTTCAAAACCTTAGACCTCCTCTTTCATAATTCGAACTTTAAAAGGAAGTCGGACACAGCCTATTTAGAAAAAGTAAATATTGAATATAATATAATCTTATTTTAAAAACCTTTGAATTAGTAAAAATATCACATATGCACTTTCAACAAAAATATAAAAACAAAACTCAATACTAAATAAGGCTTCATTAACATATTGAAACCTAAATTTGAGAAGGAATATCAAAAATTCGAGGCGAATTTAAGAATTATAGATAGTGTGGCAACACATGGCTACATGGCCATTATTCAAAATTGGCTTTCCTACATTTTTGTCATTTTACTTAATTGAAATTTACATGCCTACTTTGATTTAATAAATTCTTATCTTTCCTTTATAGTAATTTTATCCTGATTCTAGAATTACTATTATTTATGTATTTTTTTTTAATCTGACTTTAAATTACGATAATGTATAAACTAAATATTATTCCATGAACTTTGTAAAACGTTACAAGATAATCTTTTTTATTATTTAACAATTTATTATTCAATATTATTATGTATCAACATACTGCACACGACCTATATCTAAATACCTTAACGAATCTAAACATGACATATACAATTAAGAGTGTTTAATAATAACAAAAGGTTAATTTAAATTAATTTGGGTCTTTTCAGCTTGTGAGAGCTTAGAACCACTTGTTCCTTCAGCGTGTTAGCGGGTTTGACACCGACTAACTAGGAATTTATTAGAAACGATGCAAAAACTAAAAAGATTTAAACCCGAGACCTCGCGGTCTGCAGACGAGTGTAATCAACACTAAATAATCGAGGCACTTTTAAATATAATGTATAGATGGTTAAAATTCCAAAATCGTATAAAATAAATAAAATATGAGCACAAAAAACTAATAACCAGACATAATATTCGAATTAATTGACAGTAAGATAAATTAATCCGTAATATAAATTAACGGATGTATAAAACGAAATACGACGATTTTTTTAATTTTTTACATATGTACAATTAATTATTTTAATCGTGCAAGTACCTCTTATTAATTGGTGTTTTTCAAAGATATTGTAAAAATTATGCTTTAATAAAAAATACGAAGTGCAAGAGTAATGATTGATAACAGAGCCTTTTGTTAAGAGCGATTAGTGTTTGAGATCGATTTAAAAAGTTAGCCAAGTAGCTAATGTTATCCTGAAAAAGAAATCAATACTATTCTATGCTATGCTGTGCTATATATTCGCTATTTGATGTTAGGGCTTGTAAAGACTAACTTTTGTTTATTCCATTTATAAATTAAAATTATATTTAGATTGAAAACAAAAATTACGACACGTCCTTGACAATTTAGCTACTAAGTCCTAAATTAATTGGTTCAAGTTCCACATGTGTAGTATATTTTTTTTCAATCGAAGTACATTTTTAATTTATATAATGCGATCAAATGCAGTAACACGTGAAAAACATAATTTTGTCCTTTACAAAAACCAAATAAAGGTTATCAAGTGGTACCCATTTTAAACCAGTTTCAACGGTTTTAAACGCCAGATTTATTAAGTAAAATATTATTATCTTATTTTATCTATGACTCATATGATGCTTTGCAGCAGCCTTGGTTGCGCAGTGACTAAAGATGAAGTGTGTCCCAAGTGTCAAATACAGATTTGCAGATGGCGCTAGCGTAGCAGATATGACTTGAAAAAATAATTTGAATAATATATTTGGCGTTTTAAACCTTTACCAGTAAATACCATCCAAGTACATCACAGAGTTTAGATAGACTATCCAATCACTAATAGATTATGACATTGATTAAAATTAACCGAGCGTTAAATCTTACTGTTTGATTAATTATGTATCACACATTGACCGCCGTTAACTTGCTTAATCAATGTTATTATTTCCCATTGAAACTGTACCTCAGTTGCGAGTTACATCATAAAATTAATGTTCGAATATTACCTCTAAAACCTTAAAACGTATTTTTCTGAATTGACTTTTCTAAGTAGGGACTCAAATTGGTGGAGGTTTTAGTTCGCGCTAGCCTGCGTCCACTGGGGCAAAGCCGAGAGAGCGTCGAACAGTTTTTTGGGATAGTATGTACTGTTTCGGCCGATTGCTGCGAACTCGGGGCTTAGACGATGTTGATTTACTGCTGACGTCATAAATTTTTTTGCCGCTTCGACCTGAATATTTAAAATTACACTAGTTTAATTTGAGTATTGTCTGTGGTTTACGCGAGTAGAAAACACTAGACGGTTTATTACGCGATATGTATTAGTTAAACTTACTTTTAACTTATTACGGGATCAAAATTTGAAACGGGGCGTAGATAAAAGGGAAATTGTAAATAAGATTATCGAATACATCTCGAGTTTAAAACGTTAAAAGTGTTTTATTTAAATAGTTTTAATCGTATCATCAATACTATTACTACAGTAACATAAAGTAAATAGTGTTTTTACAAATACAATCTTATTTTTTATTTAATTGGAAAGTAGGAAAACATTACATTTGTCCATATAAAATAAATACCACAGTTATAGAATTAGGTTAGCATGCACATTTAACTCATCAGAATTGTTCCCTAGCAAAGGTGGTTTGCAAACATGCTGGTGCCGGTGCCGGTGGGAATCGAATCCACAACCATTCTTTACTCCATACCAGCCAGTATATTACTAAGATTTTTGTTATAAATACAATTACCAACCTGTAGACCAGGGGGTGTTGTATCCGTGAAGTTGCCTGAAAAATAAACGAAGCGTTAAATATATGCTGAGCCCTAACCGTTTCTGTTTATTATTAATATTTTTTTAATCCACGTAATATTGACATAATTTTATCCATAAGTCACTTTAAGAGATGGCATTGGACTCATACTGTGAAGTGGGGTGGAAAGTTCCAGGAGGTTGGGAGGGGGGGAGCGAAATGTAAGTACCCACCAAGTAAATTGGTCGTCTGTAGATTACGCAGAAAAATAATTACAAAAAGGTCGTCTTCAAAGTCGTGTTGAATATTGAAATCGTTTGGTCCCGAAATAATCGATATCTCTTTATCTCTGTGTTATCTGTGGCAACAACTACACTCTATACAAGGCCATCACTAGTTCTCTATTGTTTGAAATCGGCAATATTTGTTGTAGTCTTTTGACAAGTAAGAAAAACAGTTTTTTAAGTTAACAAATCAAAATTGAATACCTATAAATGCCAGTATTAACGGTGATCTCTTCCATCCTAACGCCTCGAAGATCAGTCCCCTGGGTGACACGAGGAAGCTGTAGGGTAGCGTGCCGGAATCAACCTTTAATTAAGGGAAATAAAGAGTGTTAACTTAACATAATTTCACTAAAACAATATAACATGTCAAATATTAATTTATTACCACAAAAAGGATTAGAAAGTAAAAAAAAAAATGAGGTTAAACACCCCAAGTAATGTACAGAGATGCGCAGGCGATTATATTGGCTTTGGACATTCAATAATGCACTAAAACTAAAATTAAAATCAACATCTTTATTATCTGTTGACGGTGGTTCGTTTACCGGAATATCGAAATTCCTACTACCTTTTTCCAGAAGGTCTAGGGGAAGACCAACATATTTCAGAAAAATGGTAATTTTTTGACATCGAGTTGGTGGCGATCCCACAACCCGTTGGTTATTAGCAATAGATACCATTAGAACATCGATTATGTAGGAATTTTGTTTTATCATTTATTCATTTAGGTAATTCGTTTAAATATTAATTAACGTCATAATAACCTTTTCCCGGCAGTTTTTAGTTTCCAAGGGATTCGATCCCAACTGAGCACAATATTAATCGACATTTAGGCATTAACAAACGCGGTTGTATGGAATATAGTTGGTTTCGAATCTAACTAAGAACTTTTCGCGATACATTTTGTTGGGCCACGAGGGATTTCTCTAACAACTGGGAACAACTAAAGCTTACCATCACATTTCTGAGTAGTTCCGCACAATCTGTTAGATTATCGCACTGGCGCGTATCCGTCTGTTGTATAAACACGATGTCCTCTTCGGTGGAAAGTCGCAACGATTCGCTTTCCTTCGTCCGACTACCTGCGAAGAGTGTTATGGTGTCCTCTACTGGCGGCAATATATTCTCTGTAATTGAGTTGAAATCTATACTGATATAAAAGAGTGTTTGAACGTCTAAGTACTATTGGTTCGAATTGAAAAATTCTCTTTGTATTGGTTAGAACATTTATTGGGGAATCTGCGTCCAATGCGTCCAATGCGTACGCTGCGAAAACGGTTAAAGACACCTAAATAATATGTATGACATACATGATTCCTCTTTAAATGACCTAAAAAAAGTCCACTTTTCAAAATTACTATTCTACGCGGACGAAGTCGCAGACACAGCTAGTATATTATAAACAGAATTATTTTTGAAATAACTTGCCAACTTTGCACAAATATAAATTCCGCATATAAATGCTGTGTTAGTAATTTTAGAATTTGGTTTGAAAAAAAAATGACACGGGAGGGTCTCGAACTCACGAGCGTAGTGTTTCGTAACATTGCTCTACGAATAGATCTACCGGGTAACACCGCAAACCGAAACTAATAAATGACCTTGAAAAAAAACACAATGTGTCATTTTACATGAGGAGTCGTATTACATCAGTTTTATCAAGGGCGGGATCGAATATCGAAAATGTTATTATTAATTATTGTCATTGAAATTAAGAAATCGGCGTGCAGGGGGGATTACTGCCCTTAGAATATAAAAACCATGTGATATATATATCTTACCCTGAAATAGAAGCAATATTGACATATAATTGAATTGATTATGTCATTTAGATAACGATTGTATGTTAGTTCTATTTCAAGAAGAAAAAAATACATATCTTAATTCTTTAAAGGTTGTTTTCACAGCCGCTAGCTTTAGCTCCATCTACTACACCCGGTTTTTGAACATGCCTCGTTATATCGTTGGTCCCTATTATCTACCAATCTCATCATCCATAATGTTACATTCTTTTGCAGTCTATAGCATGATGGTGATGATCATGATGAGGCATCAGTCAATCAAATCAAATCAAAAAGCAACTGCTGTCAACCCGCATTTGGAAAGTAGGGCAGGTTATTGATTTACAGGAGACCGTTCAGGTAAATTTATCATATAGGCAAAGTTAAACTAATACCTGAATCGCTTTGAAGTACTAGCAGATAGATTCCAATGACCAGTCCTGACAATAGAATTCCCAATAGAAACCCCACAATTATGATAGTAGGGAGGTGCCTCTCTCTTGTTTGGTTAGATGGAAATCTATGGATGAGGGGAGTATTTTCCGAGGGCCTGCTATCTTCGGCTCGCTGAAAGGAGCTTCGACGAGTTTCGTGATCTGAAATTTAAATTAAAAACACATATAAAACTCTGTGATAGAGCTACGCTCTTGTCAGAAAATTTATTTGCTGTAAAATAGTCCCTTAATTTAGAAAGTCTACAAAGCTATATAAAAAACAAAATTCCTGTTACTTCTGGCCAATCTAGTTAATAACTTGATAATAAAAAATATTTTAATAGAGGCAAATCATATTTTTCAAAGCTTTCCTGTAAGTAAAGAATTTCTGGACACTAGTATTTCATATTACAACATTATCACACAATCTCACAGCTCAAAAATTATTATTTATTATCATCATATAACAAACATACCAACAATATAATCCATTTGAATTTCTATCATATTGCTATCATGTTCACTACATAACAATACTAATGTAACCAGTTTCCATTGTTGAAATGACATTATCTAATATTATCTCCCCAAACATTATACTGATCCAGTTTTATGACTAATATATTTGAAGCTCATTATATCACAGTGATTTATAGAGAATAATATTACTGTGTTTGTAACGTACTGGCTGCGGCAACCACAAGAGGGCCAGAGTTCCAGACCAGGGAATTCATAATAAATACTTTTGATTGCAAGGTACAGATGTAAAAATAAATAATAAATATTATTGATCAATTTTAAATTTGTCAGGTATGAATTCTCCAATCAAATCAAGGGACTAGCTCAGAATTCATGCACAGTTGGAAAATAATATTTATTAAATATGTATATTTAAAGTAAACCAAAATGTATCTATGTTAGAACAAACATGGCACTAAAAATAAGAAGAATTCTTGAATGTCATCCTGATTTTATATTAATTTATATAGTAGTATAAATCAAACTTTTAATTTCCAGTTTTATTTATATAATTAACGTTGATAATATAATGATATATCGTTATATTAACTAAACAAATACATACATTTCTATAATGAAATGTACTCAGTGACTCATGTATATGTAAGAATTGCATATTAAGAATATGTATTATATTGTAAAATAAGGACAATTTGTGCTCATTACTCACCTACTGGTGATATCAAAGGTTGCATGATGACGGAACGACTATACACTGCTCGCTAGTACGCAAGAACGCTTTAATTTGATCCTTTTCATAATAGGAATACTTTACAATGTTCTTACAATACAGAAAACAATATTCTTGAAAATTATTTACAACAATATTTGTAAAATTCACATAATTCGCTTGACCTTTGCAAGGGAAACTAACGATTTGATAAATTGATAATAAACATATAAGTGTAAACATCCAAAGTGTATTAAACTCGCTTATTTGAATAAAATACACAAATATAAATTAGAAAATTATACAAACATAACAAAGGCATTAAGCACAGATAATCAAATTCCAGAGACAATGATAGCGCAGATAATAAAAATTGTTTTTTTTATTATTTAGATATTTGTTTACTGACAATAACTAAGTGATACGGGAGACCAAACTTAAAAATGTATCTAAAATATTTATTTTTTACCTATTGCAATTACTAGTATGTAGTATTTTGACATAGCTCTTCTTCTTCTTTTTCTTTTTCCAGTGGCTCATTTTGAATAGATTTTACTGATATCAGTGGAACATAATGAACAAAATATTGCAAGAAAGTTAAAGATAAAAATTTAATTGTTGACAAATAAATCATATTATCTTCTTTAAACATCAGACCGTAAAAGCTATTGTACATTATTCATTAGTAATCTGTGCAATGTATGCCCACTCTGTGTGTCGATCAAAATACAATATAATCTGTAGCTTTTGTATCAAATGTTAAATGTCAGTTATAATTTCCTATAATATAGCTGTGGTTGCATTTGTTTACTAACAAATAACAATTCTCCAGCTTCTGAATGCTGCAATTCGGAATGCAGATGGTGGGCCTGGGCCGTTGGGATAGGGGCCATGGATATGGGACTAGTCCCTTATTTTTGATAGAATCGTTCATATGGGAAGATTATAATAGGTTGGAACATAAAGAAATGAAGGAGATTAAAAGTTATTGACAAGTATACTTAAGCAGTTAAAAGGATATATTATGAGTATACGTACCCACATAGGTACATATTTATCTATTTAAGTAAAACTGTAATATCTAATACAATTGTATTAGACAAACAATTTACTTTTGATTCAACCCAATTGATCCTCAAAAAAGCACTTGGAGCTGCATTGAATAGGATTTGTTATTTCAAGTGTTAGTTTCTTGAAATGTCGGGTCAATTTTAGAATGTAGACGTTTACTTAAATAAATGTTAACATTTACCTAAGTGTCTGAATTAACAATATTCAAACTTGATTTAAATTTGTTAAAAATCATTATTTTAACTTTCTTTATAGCATTGTTTTAGGCTTTTTTAGGTAGTGGATTTAAATCTTGAGGATACAGTAGATTATGACAGTTGGGACGGGTAACAGAAGTGTAAAACAACTTCTTGCCATGTGGCCATTCACTTGGTTTTAAATGTAAAAAATATGGTCTTCTAGCTATTCTAACATGATATGAAATAAAAAAGCAAATAACACACACAACATTTTATTAAACAACATTAATGTCTATTTTGGTTTCGCTATATAAACTTAAATCAAGCTTAAAAATAAGACAACACAAGCACCAGTGAGTAACGGTGGACTAAGAAGTAAGTATAAATCTACATTTTGACTTAACAATGAGATTTTATATCTTCAAGCTTTAATTATAACCTTAAATACCACTTACCCACGGCAAAATAAAGCTTTCCGTTTGCCAATGGCGAACGATAACACCAAAAATATTGTAACACTAAAAATTTTGCATCGCATCATCGCATGGCGTCGCATTGAGTAGACAGTTCGCAATGCAAATAAATAAAAAAAATGAAAAAGTAATAAGTTATTTACCTATTCGCGATTCAACGTTCCTAGACCATTTATTTATGGCAATGACTAAGACTCGCTTAATAAGCCTATCCATGGATTACACCGCTTAAGATACTTTATTTCGGGAACTTCCACTGAATCGCAACTGGTGCGGTCGTAGTAGAATCATGGGGAGCAGTTTGCGGTGTCTGAGTGCTTTTTGGTGTATCGCTTCTATCCACGCCGTGGCCGTGGTGGTCGTGGTGGTCAGGTGAGGGGAACCACTCGGATATTATAACAGGTTTCCAGATCTTCTTGGATCCTGGTACTAAAATATCCTTCCAGTACGGCACGCTTATCTGCTTCCACGCTTCTTGCCAGGTTAATTTCTTGTCCTTCTTTTTAATCTCCTTCCAGGCAGAAACGACGTAGGGCTGCCATACTTTTCGCCATTTTACTTGCTTCTCTTCTTGCCATGCCGGGACTTCGATGTCGACCCACAGTGGTTTATAGATTTTTTTCCACCCCACTTTGTAGGCTTGCTTCTTCGCTGGCTTCCATATTTTTTTCCATCCCTCCTTCCACGTGACTTTCTTTTTCCAGTAGCCTGGATCGTGGTGGTCATGGTGCTCATGGTGCTCATCGTGATGGTCGTGGTCAATGGGTCCCGGATAAGCGTGAGTATCTACTAAACCCTCGCTGGGTGCCGGGTAATCGTAACCGTCGCGGTTCTGTGCTTTCTGAAGATTTGCCTGATTAAGTCCATTTTGCTGTGCTTGTTCTTCTTTGGGTAACGCTTTACCTGTTACCCGAGATACCAGTGCGATTACAACAAAGGCAACCTGCAAGAATAAAATACATATTTATTCTGTCTGAAGTCTGATCACCTACTTTCTTGTTTATAGTGTAAATTAAAAATTATCCCACTTAGGGGGATGGACCAAAGATTTACTTTTTAAGAAACTTACGCAATCAAATATGCAATGAATACAGTACGGTAAAATAGATATATGTATATTTTTTAAATACTGTCCTTAGTTTACGCGATTAGTACACATTCAAATAAAACACTTTAACGGTTTAAAACGCGATATATTAGTCTCCCGTGACCATGGCTGCTGCAAAGCATTCGAAACGTCGGGCCGAAGTTAAAAATCATTTTCAAATAAGTTTAACTAATATATCGCGTTTAAAACCGTTAAAGTTTTTTATTTAAATATATATTTTTTAATAATTTATCTATGTACTATTATTATATAAATCCCGGACACTAATGGTATCTCGAAAGTAGGTATATGTACTTATCGGTGACCATAGTGACCACGTTACAATAAAATTCAACAAAGGGAAAGTTATTCTAAAACCAGTTACCAGTCTGCACTACGTGCAGGAACTAAGCCGAGGTGACTTATATTACACGTTGATACCATAAAAGGACCAATCGCGAAAGCCATAACTATAGCATCCAAAGATATACCTATACCTTCTCATCATAAACCCGGACGTTTTTTTAAAGATAGAGACGGACAGAAAAGCACGCGCTTCACTTGAAGGGTAGCTGAAATTCTACAGCCATATAAGAACTAAACAAGGACGCTGTCAATCACTTTGTCTTTGGATATTCGGAAATCCACAGACTAAAAGCGAAACACGATTAAACCTCACGGCCTCGTGACCCGGACGGAATTTCGATATGCCTACGAGTACTACCCATTATAATTACATAAGTTACTCTTTAACATCATGTATAGTATGTATACTAGTCGATGGAAATAAATTCTTGACATCAACTGTCGGCCTATTTTGGCTTTCCGCTGGATTTTCATATAAATATTCCCACCTTATAAATGTCCTTATTTAAGCAAAAAATAATGATAAAAAACATAGTGGATCTGGTGGGAATTGACACCAGATCCGTTGCAGAAGCAAATTTAGCAAGAATAGTGATAGGCATAATTTGAACTTACGAAATAAGAATAACCTAGCTATCCCCAAATATAGGCTCCATAAAATATCTAATTCATTTGCGGGGAATTGTATTCGTATGTATAATACATTGCCAGTCGAGATTTCAAATTTATCGATAAATAAATTTAAGAAAGTTATAAAACTGAACGATTTCTTTAATGACAAGACCGCCTGGCATTAATATAAATTGCTCTCGTTAATAAATTTACAAAAATGTATTAGTTTATAAGACATGTTAAAAAAAGCCGGACCGAGTTTCTTGGGTGTTCTTCTCAGTTATGTTGCTCTTTTGAACACTCTGTAGAAACACGACGAACAGACAGACAAACGACAAAACGAATCTAAATATTTTTTTAAATTTTAAAGAGAATAAAGTATATTTTATTTCATTTTGTTGATTATTAGCCATACATTCCTACCACTCAACTAATAGAAAACTAATTTAAGGATGTTTTTTAAATTTATATACATATTATTAAATACATATTTAATATTAAACATGTATTATATTAGAAATTTGAAAATTTTAACATAAGCAAAGTGAAAATGCTTAAGTGTTAATATGAAGTTAAATGTGAATTGTTTAAAATATTTGCGGTAGTTTTATGTTTACTAAGAAAGTGCGTTTATCTTTATTAGCAGGTTTTGCACCTTCAGCGTGGTCAAATTGCATAAACCAGGCTTCGTGTCACTAAGAAATACATAACTATATTCCGTATACAGTTATGTATTTATTGTCAAAGGTATGAAAAAAAAATGTTTTTTAATAGACGAGAAGAGATGAGCATTAGATTTACTTGGTAGATGAAATACTCCAGCTGCGGCTCCAGCAACTTCAGAGACTGACACAATCTATTGACGTTGTTCCTACTACGACATTCAATATCCAGATCTTCGAGAAAAATCGTAACATGTTAAAAAATCGGTTAATTTTTGCATCCGAAACGTCAGGCCAAAGTTAAAAATTATTTTCAAATAAGTTTAACTAATATATCGTGTTTTAAACCGTTAAAGTGTTTTATTTAAATGTGTACAACTCGCGTAAACTATATTATTTTCAGTATTAACATCTATATAACAGTATTTTACTACACATATAGTTAGAAAAACAATAAGTTATATAATGTGTGACAAAAAACAAAAAATATAAGGTCATATTATGTTTTAGAAACTATCGATGACAAAAAGATATAAAAACGCGAGATAAGTCTAAACGAAAAGCAATAATCATTATTGTTCAAAGCTTCAACTGTCCTACTGTCGATTGTATACTGTGTTCTATTTAGGACTGACGACCCCGTGTAACGGAAGCACAGCTTCTTACGTATTCTATTGTTTACGATACGCATATAAACAGATATAAAAAACATATATCAACTTTAATACTATATAGGATAAGTGAAGATCTTTGTGATTCCAGATTTGTTTTAGATATTACATGATACAATACCGACGAGGCTCATGTAAGCGAAATTTTATTATTCGTCCATGATTTGTATTGATAACTCAATATGCGCTAAACGAGGATATATGAAAACACTCCAAACTTATAGAACTGGAAATCAAATAAGCTTTTCCATTCTAAAGCGTACTAGTATCATTAGAAGAAATGAAAACAAGAATTTCCAGTGAATATTGCAGTTCTCGAGGGTTTCATGCGATTTATTGATACGTGAAGAGAGATATGAGAAGTGATAGATAGAGAATAGAATAGAATAGTAGAGAATAGAATATCATTGGGCCGTATCGAAAACGTTTTCAAACAAATGTTAATAAATATTTATATAATTATCCAATTCATTGAAACATTATAGGACGATAAAAAACGTCTATAAAACCTTATCATGTACAACTATTTATTAGCTTTTTAAATCATTTCAATTTTATACATTATTGGTATACACAAATTAAAAATGTCTCCTAAATTTTAAATTATTATTTGCAAAGATTATCGTATGTTTAAAATAATAAGTTGTTAATAGAACACTTTAACGGTTTAAAACGCGAAATTAGTTAACGTGTTTTTTAAATTATGCTTTTGGATTGTAAAGCTTCCAAAGTGTCGGGTCGCAGATACTGATAACTTAAGTTATTTACTGTCTTAAATTGTTATAAGTGTTTTATTTAAAGTGCAATAGCTATTGCCGAAACTTATTTTATTCTTTATTTTCCCTGTAGTGATTTTTAATGTGGCTAAGAAAATTAGATAAAGCAAGCAAAATGTCAAAACAAAGCAAGCACGCGTCCTAGTTTTCAGATTCTTTTTTCAAAACAGCGAAGTTATTTACAGGCTAATATGGAATATGCATAATCATTTATAATATTCTTAACTTTTAAAAACAATTCTATTATTTAAAAGTGCATCGCACTTAAAAAACAGAAAATATTCTTATTTAAGAAAAACGATATGCTTTTAAATTTATTTCTATTCGAAATTCATATATGTATTTAAAATAATATTCGCACATATTATCTGAGGTTATTATATTTAAAAAATTCTATTGTTAAAATGCGTATTCCTTATTGGCCTAAAAAGGAAACACTTGGGCTGCACAAAAGATAATTTCTTTAACTGGAACTGACCGTTAAGCAGAGATTCCCTTGCATCCTGGACGGGCACTGCGTTCGGCACTCGACTACAACACTTCTGTTGAGATGTCTTCGAGCGAACGGTTATATACAGAGCCCACCCTTGCACCCCACGGTTTCTATGGAGGTGGACTTCGCAGGAAGCAGCGCGTGGGTATCAAATCCGTCTAATTCTATGAGATAAATACTAAGGTGGATACACAACAACACTAAAGAAATTTACACATTCAATTAATTCCAATCCAATTAATTCAGTTAATGTAATTACTAATTAAGAGGTATCACGAAACTCCTTTAATACCAGTAAAAAATTCCAATTAAGGCCAATATAAATAATTCTTCTAGTTTTTCATACACTACTAAACATTTAGTAGAACACAAAAATATTGTAATAAAACATAACTAAAACAAAAAGCGATCGATAGTCATATTACTTTTGATTGTTTGTATGTACAATGTTACAGACAAACAAATTCGTTTCACTGTACAACTTTCTATTTTTTTTTTATTTTGCAGTCGAATTTTTGATCAGACTACTGTGTGAATTAAAAATCGAAAATAAATTTAAAAAAAAATACGATTTGGGCAGAAGTTGTATTTTTTTAAATAACGGTTTATTCAAAAATCTATGTTTACCAAATGTATTCCAATACAATCTATATGAATTCCAGCCAATCAGCAAATATTGACGGAGTGTGTCAGAAGAATAAAAGCATTCAATGTTTTTACCAATTTTTTCACAGTTCCATTTTCAACGCTAGAAAATATAGCTTATCAAACTTTTTAACTTTAGGTGGTTAACCAGATAATATAATTTTAAAATTAGATCACCCGTTTTATATTACCCTACACTCTACACACGAAGCTATATATTTTTTATTTTTAATGAATTTTGTAAAATCCTTTCGACGTGAAAAATGCTTGACATTTCTGTGTCTGTCTAGGCAATGCATTTAACCAATGATTCATGGGCCTGTTACTCGACTGTATTATTTATATAGGTATTATGATAAACTGATTATAAAAGTAGGTACAGTGTAAAACTATCCCTAAAAATCTACCTAATATTTTCGAAATAAACAATATTCCAAATAATATTATTTCAATTATAAGAGGATTAATTAGGAGCGTTCCTTTTATAGACATTCTGAAAACAAGACAAAAATAATAGACTTAATGCTAGGAAATTTCCTAACACTTATTATTTATCTTCAAGTACTTCGAGAATCGAAAAGATTTGAAGTTACAATGAAGGCATTTTTTTTATACATACAGTCTTGGTGCTTGCTTCAGGTTATGTTAGAATATCCTATACTTTTAAGTTTTGGATAGTTGGAATAGTTGATAAACCTAATAAAATTACATAATAATTCTCTCAAGTACCGAACCAAAATTCAAATTTTCACGTAATTGAATATGTATACAAAAACTAATAAAAACTCCATATCAAGTAGTGAATAGGCACTTAAAATCTATACTAATATTACAATGTTTAAACGCGCTAGTCTCAGAAACTACAGGTTCAAATTTAAAAAATATTGTGTATTAAGAGTTAAGAGTATTGTATCTAAGAAGGCTTAAGGCTATAAAATATCATGCTGCAACCTATAGTGGGAAATGTGGTAAAACCGGGAAAATATTTTCATCTTTGAGGGTGTCCGTTGTGTGCACTGCGAAAACGGTTTAAGATAGCCAAAAAAATGTATGAGAGAACTATTTCTCGTTAGATGATTTTTTTTTAATTACCGCCACATTACGTCTATCTTTTAAGATTTACTCACAAGGACCATTTTAGTTGTAACAAAATTTTAGTCGAAATACTTCATTTTTTGCCAGGCTAGTCACTAAAAATAAGAATATGAAACATGTATACCTAATTAATGGTACGGAACCCTTGGTACGCCAGTCCGAATCGCACTGTGCCTTTATAACCTCTTATATACATTCGCATGCGACAAACGCATACAATATTCAGAAATCAACATGAGAAATCTGAAATAACTAATTATTCTTTGTAACTTATATACGCCGTACATTGTTATCTTATTAAGGCTTACTTATCTCTCGAAATGTCAAACAGTCAAACAAAAAATTGTCGTTGATCTACCTTTATTTGATAACGCCGAATGGTCGTCAGTTCGATTCTTGGCAGTCGCATATACATGAATGAATGTTAATTAAAAATTCTGAGGCCATTTTTTTATTCTGTTTTAATTATTTAATTTACTGCCAGTACTAAAATAATGAATCTAAAATGTCAGAAGAGCCGTAAATACTTTCCAAGATTTAACAGAAGTAGCCAAAAAATGTGTATTTTATAATAGAGACAAATCAAACAATTTCACATTAATAATTTTAGCGTGAACGTGATTTTTTATCGGGATATAAACAGTCTATCTATTAGTTGCAAATGCTACTAAATTTATTCAAAAAAGCAAATACATAGAAGAAAGTGTAAAAATGGACACAGTTATGTGTCTGCCCCATCTGAAAAGTCATTTCACTATAGTTAACGCTTTAAATCGTCTCCGGACCTCAAACTTCGATTATCTAGCAATTCTCTAGCGCATAATAGTTCTACTCAATTACTTGCCATATAAAACGATCGGTAAAAATAATATGTGTCTATACAAAAACTGACCGATACATTGATTTTAAACAAATCGCATATTTACACAAAGTAATGGAAGCGTGGATATGAAGCCTTTGAATTTACACTCCGAATCGTAGTCGGTTCATTAAAATAGCCTCGGGCCGTGTTCAGTCAATTTTAAATGTTGCCAGTCAATCGTCAATAATACACATTGGTATTGAATATTTTTCTGTCAAAAATAGATTGACTTTTGTTTTACAGATAATCGCGTGTTATTAAACTTAGACTATCAATTTTGTTTACATAAAATATAATCCAAGTTACTGCGTACGTGGCTGAGCTTTGCCATTTCGATTGGTAACAGGTCCAGTCCTTCATTTTAATCCCGTGGAACCGGAAACACTTTTAAAGGTTTAAAACGCGAAATGTATTAGTTAAACTTTAACAATTTTTTTTAACTACGGCCTGATAGGACGGGGTCTCCCTGTTATGACTGCCGCAAAGCATCCGAAACCTTTTGAACGGTTAAAGGTGTTTTATTTCAATTTGCACTACTTACGTAAACTAGAGGCAGTATTTAAACTTTAAAATTTAAAAATCAGAAAATAAATTAAAAACGTTGCGACTCGGGCAGGACTCGTCCGGCATCGTCAGCAGTAATTTTTTCAATTTATTTTCCATTTTAAATTATATAGGGCCTTCATGTGCATGTAAAAAAAACATGTAAAAAAAAATAAAGTTTTCAAAGTATTCAAACTTGCTTTTTTCTAAATTCTGCACACAGGAAGTAACAGGGCAATTGGGAAACAGTACATTTTTCAATGATATTTTACGCTTACTAGAAAACGCTAAGTACTAGCCGATTGTTTAACGCGTTGATTTTCTCACAACATTCTCCAAGCGGAGGAAGTGAATTCAATGCTGAATTATTCACAAGTCACATAAACTATTACTTGAACTAGTCGGAACTGAGATTACAAAGCTAGGTTTATTTTTCCTATGACGGTCATGTGATGTTACATAACCAATGAAGTACGCTAATTACAATATCAAAAACATTAATTATTTGTAAATTGCATAGATCCACAGATGAAAAAGCCGTCAGATTTAATCGCGTTTTGGTGCGTATGCGTGTCTGTCGTGTTTGGCGGCCAAATAATACTATGTAAAATTATGTTTGTCGCGTAATTTAAAAATGGAACGATCTTCTTACACTACATGGCGACCAAAGAGGTAACTCATCGAAGGTTTAATTTAAATTTCTCTCTGGCTTGTACATAGAAAGCTGTTCACTAAAAAAAAAAATATTGTTATTAATTGTTCTTTGACCTCGTCATTGGTTTTAAAGTTCTGAGTTTTAAAGTTGTAGTTTTTTAATGTTCGTCCAAGCCGAAGCCGAGTTCGAAGCCTCTTGTGCCGGCTGCTGCAGCAAAGTACTATTGCATGAAGTAGACAAACTCTGGTTCAAAATAACGGTTACAGTAATTGACTTAGGAAACATTAAGACAGATATTCAACACAATGAAAATGTTGTCTTTTCATTTCAGAGGTATTAGTCTTACATCAAAGACGTTAAAAATATAATAGTGATTTGAAAGCCTACACTTTACCGCCTGCATTCACAAGTTAATATGCCAACTCAATTTCAAATATTTGATTGAACAGCAGGTGTGCTGACTAATGAAAATTTAGCCAATTATGATTACGTTTCGTTGCTAATGTATTGTTTATCTCTTTTACATCTAGGAAAAACATACAAAGCTGTAGAGCTATTTGTCTTATTAGCATAAGTTCAGCTAAACGTTTAAAAGCTTAACATTTTTTTAATGAAATGTAAAGAATTGTTTGAACGCGATTATCCTAGATCGCAGATCGTATTTTCAAAATTCTGTAAGAGTTAGGTAGTCTAATTTTTCGACGAGAGATGGAACGCTAAAAGTCTATAATATGCTATGTTTTATGTATTTTCACGGCCTCACAGGTTGATATTTAAAAGGGAATTGTTCTTTACTCATGGTACTGATATAACTCAGTTAAAACCGTTGTATTTTGTGCCACAAATACCTGAGTCGAGAAGCGGTGTGCATTATTCAGGGTGTTACCCATCAATACGTTGATGCGAAATACAGCCCGATTACTGTGATTTCGAATTTCCTGCTCTTGACTACAAAGGATTAACAATGCTGTAGAGGATTAGAGAAATACCGATCAGGTGCGTGTTTTGTAATGCTTACAAATGTATACTACCGTTAAAATAATTTCCAAATAAGTTTAACTAATATATATGTGTTTTAAACCGTTAAAGTGTTTTATTTAAATGTACTACTCGCGTAAATTATAGACAGTTTTTAAACAACAAGCAGTTACAGTAAATTAAAAAATACGCGATTACGGATACGGATTCATGTCTGAATAAATTCGATGA